CACAAAGAAACGCGCTCTGAGTCTAAAGCCTTCTCGAAATCGACGAACCCCAAACGGAGAAAAAACTAATATTCGCTTCTGTTTGCAGATTATTCATCGAACTAAATCCACTTTCGAATTCGGATTCAAAACAAACTGATAGCCTGTCGTTCTCAAAATCATCGTTGTCTCACTTTTGTACTGTAGAATAATCCATGCGGTAGTCAAATTGTCTGGGATTTTCAGTTCTGTCAAACAGGGCGAGAACCATCGAGCCAATATTTTGGCCAATGCTTGATCTTCTGGTTTCACCTGATTCATTGTATTTCAGTCTCCGATAGGAGCCCTTCGTCGCTTTGACCTATTTATTGCATGATGCACTTCTTTAGGCAACACATTTGAAATTTTTTCAATTTCAGTTGTGGCTTCAGACCCCTCATTGTTATCTTTTGTGCCGTCGGTTACATCTTTGATAACTGACCTTCCTGCTGTCTTGAGAGCTAAAATTCGTCGTTTACCGACTGTCAATTTTAGCTTCAACTGTTTCGTGAAACTATTGTTCTCAACAGTTTCCTTCACCAATCTGTAGGTGAATGCCGAAATATTGTCTGTTGTCGATTTCATAAGGTTTGGCAAGGTTTCATATTCGATATTAGATTTCTGATCACTTGTTGTCTTAAAATTTCTTTGTTTCTTCCTTTCGTCTGTTTCGTGATTTTGCGATCAATCTTCGCCCTCCATGTTCCGGTGATGTTTTCTGTTCTTTCTGTAGTTATCATAATTATATCCTGAAACAATAATAACACAACAAACTGAAGCCTAATTTGTGTGCGAATGCTGTGAATAAAACTAACAGAGAAAACATGTTCATGTGCTACTCCGTATACCCATTGTAAGCACGTAACCAAGGTGGTGATTTCAAAGGATAAGCTCTTTTAGATGTGGCTGGCTTGAGATTAGTGTGACGTAATGGTTTAATAAAAGTATCTCTTACGTAAGCATGGGTCCGTTTACAATTTATTAATGAGGCATTGAGATTACAAATGTTTGCCTTGTACGCCGATTCTATCATTTTTTGACACACTGTATAGTGTCAATTCTTGAATTGTGATGAGACCATTCTGTGCTGAAACTTAATTGAAATACATTATGTTTTTTATACCTTTATTAAGGCTTTGACCTGATTCGATCAGCTCAAGC